AAGGATGCCTGTTACATTACTTAGGAAGGTTCTGCTTGCAATGATGCTTGAGCACAGTATGTACAAAAAATAAAAAGCTCTCAGAATGCATGGAATAATGAAATTATACAAGGAAAGTAAGCTTATTTTAGAATAATCACGGATAGTTTGACTGTCATTATCTGATGCAGCACACTAAGAACGGTCCTATCCATAAGCTACCTAACCTTAATTAGTATCAGGCCTACTCTGTTAGTGGGAGAAATACAGATAAGTCCTGTTATTACTCCAGGTGAGTTTACTCTTACTCTATCCATATTTCAGCACTTACTGAGATCCGGACCCACGGAATTACATTTTGTCCCTTGGCACTGTGGCCTAGCTGGACTGGATCCAGTGGCGATTGTGTTTACTACCTGGCTCATCTGCTTGATCCGCATGAAGCAAATCCCAACTCATGCGAAGAGGCATCTTCGACCACCTCGGCTGCCTCACGTGGCGGTGGTCTGGAGATTATTCGGTTTCCTGAGAATGTGATCTCGGGTCACCTTGAGACAGGCCCCTTCTCTCAGACAGGCGATTCCAACATTTTTGGCATGTGCATGTTCCTTCAAGGTCTACCCTGGTCACCACAATCAGTCGATGTTTCTAGCGTCTCTGGTGGTCGTGGCAGGCGAGCCTTCCTCCTGGCCGCCTTCGAGAACGGCAGTCTTCTTCTGCTGGCAACCGATGGTGCCATACTGGCTCGGCTAGATCAGGTCCTCGGACCAGGGCATCCGATCCTCTGCTTGGCGATCCAACCGCATCGGCCAGGCATTCGACATTGTTTAGTGGCTGTGGCGGGTCCACGGGTTGAGCTGGAAAGCGGTCAAGTGCCGGTGGACGCTGATGCGGCCCCCAGCCAAACCAGTGTCTCAAGTCTGACGTTCATTGGCCTTATGGTTGGGCAACTTGGCGATAGAGTATGCTTTGTTGCTACATTTATTGTCTTGTGATTGCGCAATTTAGGCTATCATACTTTAAAATTTTTATGCCTCAAGGCTAAGGGGGATCTTTTTTACTTTATATCTTCCTTTTCTTCCAATTGTCCAAGGAGACATCAGTGGTTTTCATAATTTATATATCACAAGATACGTGGTTGTGTGGGTTTACACGAACTTGTGGGATCTTCCTTCTTGATTAACTTTTTTCCTTGATTCACTTATACCTTCTGCACTCGAGTCGACTTGGTCGGTCGATACTCAATTCACCCAACACCATGTGATCGAATGTCCTTAAATCTGCTCGTCCTAGGGCTCTCGGGACACCTTGAAATATCCAGCACAATCGCCGACCGGAGCCAATCCATTCTTTATATATTCAATACGATTGTGTGTATACCTGATTAATTCCTTACACTGATTAAAAAGATCATTGCTATATAAATACATCCCATTTGTCAGTGAATAGGCTCCAAGG